TTTTTTTTTTTTTTTTTGTGGAGATGGGATCTTGCTATCTTGCCTAGGCTGATCTCAAACTCCTGGCCTCAAGTGATCCTCCTACCTCAGCCTCCCAACCTGCTAGGATTACAAGTCTGACTCACTGTGCTTAGCCTTGATTTTTGGTTTTTAAATTTTATATAATGATGAAAAATGTTCTGGGGTGGAAAATTAATAATCTACTCTTTTATTTATCTGAAGTCTAAATAACATATATATAATTTTGAGATACCACTTTGCTCTGTCATCCAGGTTAGAGTGTAGTGGCATCATGATACCTCACTACAACCTCAAATCCTAGACTGAAGTGATTCTCCTGTGTCAGCCTTCCAAGTAGCTGGGACTAAATAGTAGTACATGCCACCACGCCTGGCTAAGTTTTCTATGTTATGTGAAGACCTGGTCTCACTCTTTCTCAGGCTGGTCTCAAACTCCTGGATCCTTCCTCCTTTTTTTTGGAGAGTGCTAGGATTACAGGTATGATCACCATGCCTGGCCTAAACAATATTTTTAAAGAAAAGGGAAAAGCTTAATTTCTATAAATTGACTATTTTAGATTCAGTCTGATATGGTATTATTAATGTAACTACATAATAATATCCTATTTTTAATTAAAGAGTAATCCACACAAGAAACTCCAATGATATTAAAAATGTCACCTTAACCTAAATTATTACCACTTTTTCCTCATATTTTTCTCTCCATTAGGAGATGTCCTCAGATGCTTCACTTCCAGGAGATCCAGAGGCCTATCCTGCTGCTGTGTCAACTGGTGGAGCCATTCATCTGCAGACAGGAGGTGGATATTTTGGCCTAAGCTTTACTTGTCCTAGTCTCAGAAATCCTATTAGCAAGAAATCCTGGACTCGCAAATTAAAAAGCTGGGCATACAGGCTACGGCAGTCAACCAGCTTTTTCAAGAGATCAAAAGTCTGTCAAGGTAGTGTGCTTACAGTCAGGGACATAGACTAGGTAACATCACTTTTCGTTTACTTATTTTTTTGTTCATGCACAAATCTTGCCACTTTTTCCATTTAGCCCATGTTTGTGACAGACACATCCCATTAATGTCATTCCCATTTTATTTTTCCTTTTGTGGCTAAGTTGGTTTTCCGGTTTTTCATCTCATATAGATACTGGGGATAAATCTCACAATGTCTGATATAGAGTTAGGGACGTATATGATGTTGCTTATTACATTAACACCTTTTAATAGTCTAGCAGGAATTAAACTTTTTCTACTTTTCTTCAGTTTGGGTACTATAAACAAATTTAGTCTTAACAAATAATTCTTTCTTTTCTACTTACAATTTGGCAAAAATACAGTGGAAGCAGAAGATATAAGGTCTGCAATTGTTCCTGATCCCAATACTCTGACACCGGAGTCCACAGCTGATACTAGGGTTTTGAGTAGATATAAAGTGATGACTGGATCATTTCAGCGGGGTCGGTTCCAGGTTTGTGTCTGTGGTTGAATCCTTATCTACAAGGGCATTATAAAAGGTAACAGACATTGAAGATGTTGGTCTGTAGATGATATTTACTTTAAATGTAGATTATTATCATATTTTAATTGTTCATCTTGCAAGTATCACTTCATCTTTTGTAGGCATCAGTAAAGATGAATCTAAAGAAATGGAGATTTTAGACCTTTTCCTTCATTGCCTCAAAGGGAGCTTGTTCACTGTCCATGGTGAACGTATCTTTTTCTGTAATCCTGTATCTTCTCTTGCTTTATAAACCTATCTTTTGCTTCCTCAGTAAACTTTGTTTCACACTTGCAAAAAAACAATTAAAGAAATGGAGATTTTAGTATCTGGAAGACAGCACAGAAATGGGTTATCATTTTTTGGCAGGTGGTTGGGTTATCTTTTTTTAAATTTAATTTCATGTCCTTTAGAATCTTGGCAAATCTAATTGTGGAATTTTATTTGAACACTAAGAAGCCAACTGTATTTAACCAAGGGACCCCAATAGAAAGACTGAATATGGGGAGTATAGATGGAATTTTTAAGTTTGGGTATTGTCAATACATGTACATCACAGCAGACCATCCACTTATCTATGCTGTGCCAGACACTTTTACCTTTTTATATCTCAGGTGATTACAGTTCCTCAGCAGAAGTCAGTGAAAGTGACATCTTTTGGAATTGAACCAGTGTTCAATGAAACAACAAACCATTCTAGTGAAGAAGCTCTAGCCTTTAGTGACACAGCAAAATCTCAATTGGTAGAAACGGATCCTGCCATGCACAATCCACAAGCTTCATTTTCTTCTCAGAAGTTACAAGCTCTTCATGAAACCTTTAAAGAAGATAAAGGAATGCCCAAACAAGGTGACAACTTCTTATCTTTCAGCACAGCTTGTGAGACTGATGTATCTTCAATGACCCCAGAAAAGGAATTGGAAGAAACTTCAGCTACAAGAAGTGGCATGCAGTCTGGATCCAAACTGTTGCTTAAAGAGAGAGAAATACTAAGTGCTGGGAAACAGCCTAGCTCTGACAGTGAATTTTCAGCCAGACTTGCTAGCAGTGGAAATTCAGTGGCAAAAACTGGCCCAAAAAGTGATCAGTGCTTACCACTCCATGAAGAACAAGCCTATGCTCAAACACAGAGTTCACTCTTCTATTCACCATCTTCCCCAATGAGCAGTGATGATGAATCAGAAATAGAGGATGAGGACTTGAAGATGGAACTTCAGAGATTACGAGAAAAGTAAGGACTCTTCATTCTGTCACAAATCTGTTGCCCTCAGTTTTATACAACTTAGTATGTGCCTGAGAGCTAATTTAGAATTGGTGACATTTTAATGCTTAAAACTTATTATTAAAAATCGCAATGAATGCTAATGCTGGACATTTGAGAATGTTAAATTCCTTATATGTAAAACATTTTCATACTCTGAAGACTAATTACAGTTATTTACCAATAAGATTTAATTATTCTTTGTGCTGACCTTTTCAATTCTTACCCTTTAGGACTTTTGGTTTTAGATTTTGCAGCTATTCTTACTATATAATTTCACATTTGTTAAGTAAATAGCTAATTTATATAGTCAGAGATAGTGGTTCATCTTCTTTAGGGAAAGCTAAGATACCTCCAAGATCAAGTTTGCTATTTGGTAACTGAGATCATCGACCTTCACTAGGGATATTGTGGTAATATATTTTGTTATATAGAATTCTGTTTTATATTTAGTTTTATAAACTTGGCCATTTTAAAAAAGAAGTTAGTATTAAGTTGTTTAATTCTTTTTAATTCTATTCCCATTATTCAAAATTCAGTGGGTATATAAGGAGAGTATATAAGTAGTTTCCTAGCACTGTACCTGAGCTACTCAGTGTTCTTCCTTAGAAACAACAAATATTACCTGTTTCTTATATAGCCAGTTAACATATATATATATATATATATATATGCAGATACATAAGTATTTTATTTTTTGTTCACCACAAGTATTAACTTATACTATAGACTATTCTTAGATCTTACCTTTTTCACCATTTCACAATATCATGGCTCTACAGGTGCATCATTCTTTTTATAAAATTGCATAGTATTTCCTTATATGCACATACTCATAAGTTAATTACTAACCTCCTGTGGATGACTCCGTGTCATTACTTTGAAAAGTAGAAACCAAATCTAGCAATATTTGAATGCATCTTATGCTTTAGAGCAGTGGTTCTCAACCTTCCTAATGCCACAACCCTTTAATACAGTTCCTGTAGGTGTGGTTGAGAACCACTGCTTTAGAGAATTTCTACCTGTTATGGGTCTTGAAAAACTTGTAAATCTGCTAGGCATTGTGGTGGGTACCTGTAGTCCCAGATATTCAGGATGTTGAGGCAGGAGGATCACTTGAACCCAGGAGTTTGAGATTGCTGTGAGCTTGATTGACATCAAGGCGCCCTAGCCCAGGCAACAGAGTGAGACTCTGTCTTCAGAACAAAACAAAACTCCAGAAAGATAACAAATTTATAAAGCAAGGAGGAAAAACAGATATAAATATGGGAAAAGCTGGATTTTAGTCAGATTCTTACATGTTTGGATAATGATCCACTTAAATGCTATGTTTGTGTGCTTTAAGAACTGAAACAGGTTAAAAATCCTTGGAAATTTCCCAGTTTTGAAGGCCTTGTCCAGAGGAGGGAAAAACCCCAAGTCCTCAAAGTGTTATTCCAGTGACAGATAATTATAATACCATTTTCTCTCTAGCTTACTTCAGCTTTTTATACTTAAGCCTGGAAAAATTGCAAATGTATGCTTTCAACAAGCGTCACTGGAAGGTTGATGTTCTACTTAAAATTATATACATACACATGTACACAGGCTTGACTTTACTATATATTATATATCCTTAACGTTACTATATATTAAGTACTGTGCAGTATAAGTATACCAATACTTTTTTACTAAAAATAGTTATTATTATTTTAATGTTCGTGTTATCCGTATGCCATTACTGTTGTTTTTTTTAAATCATTCTAAAAAGACTGGTGGCTTTAGTAGCTGGCTATAATGGTTATGAGTGTGTACTTCATTTTCAATGTGAGACATTGATTCTCATAACCTCTTAGAACCCAAGACCTGAAAGGGATCGTAAAAGATAATTTATTCTATTCTGTCTGTAATGTTCTTTTGGTATTAAGGTTTCTTCCTTTAATTTTCTTCTTCAAATTTTAAATTCTCTTCAAATTTTAAAACTTTGGAATAATGTTTTTCAGGCCTAAAATCCTATAGGCCCACAGAGGTGAGCTGAGTTGTTAGACCGTAATTCTTTTAAATTAACTTTAGTCTATTTCTTAAGTTAAAAATGATGTTTGAGAAAAGATTCAAATAACACAGTAAAAAGTAAACAGACAATCTCCCATTTCTTATGTCTCAGTCTCTCTTGGAGGTAACCACTGTGAACCATTTGACGTATCTTCCTGGTCCTTTTTCTATTCATTTACAAATACATAATTTTTGCTTTTTACAAAATTGGGATCATAATATGCATGTTATTCTGCAGCTATTTGGTGTAACATTGCAACATACATACATATCTACATAAATAAATCTACCTTTTTTTCTTAAATGGTTGAATGCCATTTAAAAGTATGGGTATACCCAAATTTATTTGATCACTTCTTAATGGAAATTTTAGTTTTCCCCCATCTTTTGCTTATATAAACAATGCTGAAGTAAACATCCTTACATTTTTATGAACTTATATATTTTTTATAGGATAGATGCCTAAAAGTGATATTTCTAAGTAAAAGGTATGACTATTTTAAAGTGATACCGCTAAACTTGTCTTCCAATGTAGATATGCCATTTTACACTCAAAACAAAAATATATGGAAGTGCTGTTTCTCCATATCTTAACAACACTAAACTGGATATTATTAGTCTTTTAATTTTATTCTAATGAGATTAATTTAAAAATATTTTGTAAAAACTCTAGTTCTGATTAATAGTGAGTTTGTATATTATCTCATATTCAATGGCTATTTGTATTTCCTCTTCTTTGGAATTACCATTTCATATTCTTTGCACTTTTTTTCTAAGATAAGGTTGTTTTTTTCTTGTTAATATTTAGGAACTATTTATATATTCTGAATATTATCCCTTTATTATATGCTAAATATATTTTCTTCCGATTTATAATTTCAACATATAACGAAGGTTAATATTGTCATATTTGAGTTTAAATCTTTATCTTTCATGATATTGGATTTTTAGAAATCTGTTCTTGTCAATTTGTTCATCTTTTTCTTTATAAGTGATTAGTTTAACATTATGCTTAGGCATTTCTCATGTGAGTATTGTGAAAATACTCTGTATTTCTTCATTCTTAATCTAAATTTCTTGTTAAGCTTGTACTGGTGTAGAGTTTCTGAGAGCATCTCTATGGAGCCAGTGCCATTAAAATGCTTTCTGCATGATTTTTATTCAGACATATTCAGGAGGTGGTAAATCTTCAAACTCAGCAGAATAAGGAGCTTCAGGAGCTCTATGAACGTCTTCGGTCAATTAAAGATAGCAGAACTCAGTCTTCGGAGATTCCTTTGCTACCTGCATCACCACGTCGACTAAGATCTTTCAAAAGTAAACTTCGCAGCCGCCCCCAGTCCATGACACATGTGGACAATGGCATAGTTGCTACAGGTAAATCAATCATAAAAGTAGTTTTTTTTAAACCTGGTCAAAGATAAGCAAAATTAGAAAAATGACAATAATATAATTTGTCATTCCTTTTTTTTGAGACAGAGTCTCATTCTGTTGCCTAGGCTAGAATGCCTTGCATCATCATAGCTCATAGCAACCTCAAACTTCTGTCTGTGTTCAAGTGGTCTTCCTGCTTCAACCTCCCCATTAGCTGGGACTACCGGTGCCCACCACAACGCCTGGCTAATTTTTTTCTATTTTTAATAGAGAAAGGATCTCGCTGTTGTTCAGGCTGGTCTTAAATTCCTGTGCTTGAGCAATCCCCCCTTCCTATCTGCCTCAGCCTCCCAAAGTGCTAGGATTATAGGCATGAGCCACCATGCCCAGCCATAATTTGTTTTTTATAAGGCTAAAATAATTTTAAAAAGTGTACATTATTCTGAGATTTTTTTTTCTATCTTTTGGTGTTAAATGTTCTTTTATGAAGTAATACTGAGGCTAACTGATAGCTTTTGGCGAACAGTGTGTGTGTTTTGTGTTTTCACTTGGAAAACAAACATTTGAAAGCCCACTATGAATACTCAAAATAAGCCAGGCACAGAGGCTCATGCCTGTAATCCTATGTGGATCATTACAGAAGTTTTGGGACAGATTATGTTAATGGTCCAGTATTTCACTGCAAGAAACACAGTTGACAGTGTCCTTTCTGGTTCACCTATGCAAGTTTCAACTTGCTTGGTTTATTGGTGTTGCTGGGCTTCATTTGTTTCTGTCCACATGGATTTTACATTTCTTGCTTTTTGTGTATCTCAAAATTTACATGGCACTTTGGGAGACTGAGGTAGGAGGATTGCTTAAGACCAGGAGTGCAAGGCAGCCTGACCAAGAGTGAGGCTCTGTCTGTACAAAAAATATAAAAATTATTTGAGTGTGTTGGTGTGTACCTGTAGTTCCAGCTACTTGAGGGGCTGAAACAGGAGAATTACTTGAGCCCAGGAATTTGAGATTGTGGGTAAGCTATGGTATGATGATGCCATTGCACTCTAACCAATGCAGCAGAGCAAGACCCTGTCTCCAAAAATAATCTCCAGAGTAGTTTTTGTAATGTTATCAGTCAGTGGGAACCACTGGTCTGGCACTGAGAGTTTGTTGGGAAGTTTGTTGGTAACACAGATAATATTAGAAATATACTCATGCTTTATTTGAAGATTATTTACTTATAAGAGTATTATTAAAATGCACTTCTTGACATTGAAAACAAGAATGATTCTCTACTTAACTAATAAAGAAGTTGTTAGATCAGGCTTCTTTGGCTGTATGTACATAGTAAAGGTGAAAATTGAGGGTGCATTCTAAGGACATATAGGAAATGTTAACAGAATTTGTGGTAGGCAGAATAATGGCTCCTCAAAGATATCTGTGTGTAAATCCCTGGAACCTGTGACTATGTTATATTATATGGCAAAGGAAAATTAAGCTTGCAGGTGGAACTAAAATTACTAATCTACCGACTTTATAATAGGGAGATTATGCTGGATTATCTAGGTATGTCCAATATAATCATGAGAGTTCTTAAAAGTAGAAGACAAAAGAGAGAATCAGAGAAAAGATATGACAGGGGAAATAGTGTCAGAGAGGTGCAACATTACTGGCTTTAAAGACAGAGGAATAGGGCCACAAACCAAGAATGCAGACAGTTTCCAGAACCTGCACAGAGCAGGGAACAGATCCCTTCTCTAGAAGGAACACAGCCCTGCTATATTTAGGCCTGTATGACCCATGCTGGACTTCTAGCCATAGAGCACTAAGGTAATAAACTGTATTGTTTGAAATGACTATGTTTATGATAATTAGTTATGACAGCTACATAACTAATATAGATCTCAAGAACAGAAAGTATACTTTGGATAATCTTTATAAAGACAGAACTAAAGGATAAACATGAATTTAAGGCAACTTTGAGGACTTAATAGCAGAAGCACATGGACCTTTAATCTGATGCTGTACCATTAATAGCTATATTTTATTGTTTTTTCTCACATGAAATATTTTTATGCATAGTTTTTGCTTCCCTTAAACTTCAGCTTTCAGATAACTTTGGCTTATTGTGATCCCAGAGCATTCTTTCAGATCCCTGCTTACCTGACTTTTGTCAGATTCCAGAGGTAGAAAATTTGACTGCCCCTGCTCATTTTTTCATGTCAAGGGAAAAGGTTGAATTTCATTGCCTGGCCTATAATTGAACTATTATACTGTCAGATGTCCACCTATTTCGAAGGAACCACGATCAAAGGAGTGAGATAACATGGTAAAAACATGCCTTTTGAGACTGATTTCTTTGATTCAGAACATCTTTGGGATTCCTCAAGTTATTTTGTATTATAATAGTTTATTCCTTTTAATTACTGAGTAATATCCATAGTGTGTTTTTTTTTTTTTTAAATCTAGTCATCTGTTGGTAGACATTTGAGATATTTCCGGTTTGGGTTTTTTTTTTTAAACTGCTGTAAATATTCACAAACAGCTTTTTGGATAAACATAAATTTTCAGTTAACTTGGATAAAATACCTTGAAATGAGATTGCTGAGTCATATAATGTTGTATTTAAATGTATTAAGATATTGCCAAATTATTTTAGCAATCAACCGTATGGTTTTACATTCTCATTAGCAATGTATGAGACTTCTAGTTTCTCTTAATGCTCCTCAGTACTTGGTATTATCCATATTCTTTATTTTAACCTATTTAATAGCTGTGGAGTTGTATAATTGATGGTTTTAACTTTCATTCCCTTATGGTTAGTGATGTTTTTTTCTTATGCTTATTTGTGATCCACGTATCCTCAGTAATAAAGTCTTTATTTAAGTCTTTTGCCATTTTTTTATCCTGTTTTATTTTTATTTTTTCCATGCTTTATTTTTAGTTGAGAATTTTATTGAGATGATTATGGATTCACATGAAGTTGAAGAAATAATACAGAGAAACCCTATGTACCCTTCACCCAGTTTACCTCAAAGATAACAATTTTTATTGATTGTTGGTTTTTTTCCATATATTTTGGATAAAAACTCTT